GTTTGGGGCTGCGAAGGAGAGTAGCAGGTGAGGCCTGGCGGTGGCGCGGGCGGTTTCACCGGGGCGCGGAAACGCAAAGCCAGGGAGACCTGGTCTGCACCGCGGAGTCTGTCTTGCTCCTCTGAAAAAGACACACAAGTGCCTGGGAAGGACAGGCCAATAGGCCACCACCGGGAGGGCAGCGCGTAGAGCGGGTGGCGGGCGCAGGCAGATTCCCTGCATTTGGGGGCTGCACAGCTGGCTGTGGTGCTCCTGCACGGGGTGGGGAAGACGGACATGCACAGGGGTCAGGTCACTGAGGAGGTGTCTGCTGCCCAGTGGGTCTGAGTGGCTCAGAGTGGATGCCTGGGAGTCGTGCAAAGAACATACATTCCATTGATGGTAGCCAAGGTGCCCAGGGGTGAACAGGAGGAGAAGGCAGATGGGTGTGTGGGCTCTGAGTGACCTCTGGTGTCCTCAGGAGCCCACGCTGTGCTGCAGCCCACAAGCTGTCCTATGTTTCCTCTTATCCAGAACTAAGACAACCGCTCATTTTTATTGGATTGTGATGATTTTGAATTCTTTACTGATTGCTGACTCATCTGTGTAATTAGGTGAAGGGATCGGGGTTTTTTAGGATGCTGTTGACAAATGTAATTGTCATCTGCACTCTGGGTACTGGCCTGGAGAAGCAGCCCCCTACACTGCCTACCCCTGTACCCTCCAGCCCAGTGACAAGCTGTAGAATATCCTTTCTCCAAAAGCATCTCAGATGTTCTGCCGTGAAGTGAGATCACCAGGTCCATGGGATCAGGACTTCCCCCAGAAGCCCTATTTGGATGTGGATTAGAATTGTGTTGAATTTATGCGTCAGTTTGGGTGAAATGAACATCTTTATTAGATTGTCTTGTTCCATGTATGAAGATGGTGTATTTTATGCTTTTCTCCACAAATGACTTGCATATTTTTAAGGTTTATTTCTAGATATATTATCAATTTTATACCTCTGACTTTTGTAAGTTATACCTCTTTCTTAAAGTCATATTTTCTGATTGTCACTGCTGAATAGACATTGATTGTTATGTCAGTCTTGTTTTTTGCACTTTTGTTGAGCTCTCATTAATCTCATTAAAGATTCATCATCCATCTCCTGTGATGCTGGCCAGCCGCCCCACAGTGGCCAGGACTGAACCCAGGAGGGCCACTACCCTGGCCTTGTCCCAACGCTCAGGCTGCAAGCCTGCTCTCCCAATAACTCAGTGATACTGTCCGTCAGGCTTGGGAAGTCCCCTCTTATTGCTAGGCTTTTCACCATGACTGGATGTAGTATTTTATCAAGTATATGTTTTGAGTCTATTGTTGTGAGTTAAAATTACAAGTTGAAGTCCTAACCCCTAGTACCTGTGAATGTGACCTTATTTGCAAATAGGGCCTTTGCAGATGTAATTACTTAAGATGAAATAACCTGGAGCAGGGTGGGCCCTCATCTGGTAGGACTGGTGTCCTTATAAGAAAACGGAGACCAGGGAGGCAGGGATTGGAGTGATGTGTTTACAAGCCAGTTGTCCACACCTGGGACAGTGTCCCTCATGGCCTCCAGAAGGGACCAGCCCAGTTGGCCCCTGACCTTGGCATTGTAGCTTCCAGACTGTGAGAGCATGAGTTTCTGTTGTTTTAAGCCCCCCCCGTCTGTGGCACTTTTTAAAATATATATATGTGTGTGTACATATATGTACACATATATGTGTAATATATAGATAACATATGTTATGGGACACTACTGCAGTTGGTGATATATTTTTTAATCTTCGCCCAAGGATATTTTTTCCATTGCTTTTCAGAGAGTGTGAGAAAGAGAGAAGAGAGTGGAAGGGGGGAGGGAGACAGAGAGAGAAAGAAAGATTGATGTGAGAGAGGCACATCGATTGGTTGCCTCATGCACGCACCCTAACCGGGGCCAGGGATCTAGCCTGCAACCAAGGTATGCGCCCTTGGCCGGAATAGAGCCCGGGATCCTCCAGTCCACAGACTGATGTTCTAACCACTGAGTTAAACTGGCAAGCACCCATAGATATAGATATAAAGATACAGATGTATAGAATCTTATATCTATAGAATCTATATCTATATATCTATATATTATTTTTTACTGATTTTTAGAGAGAGAGGAAGGGAGAGGGAGAGAGAGGGAGAAACATTGATGTTAGAGCAGAATGTTGATCGGCTGCCTCCTGCACACCCCGTACTGGGGATCGAGCCCGCAACCTGGGCATGTGCCCTGAACTGGAATCAAACCCTGATCTCCTGGATCCTAGGTCAATGCTCCACTGCTGAGCCACACCCATCAAGCTAAAAATGTTTTAATTTCCAAAACTAGAGTAAGAATATTTTATACTTATTCTTGATGACCAACTTAATTTCATTTTGGTTACAAAGCATGAATTTTTTTTTTGAGACTTGCTTTGTGGCCTAAATCCTGAATTTTTGTAAATGATTTTATGGCTATTTAAAAAATAATTTATATTGTCTGTTAGGTCTAGGGTCCTCTCTGTGTCCATTAGAGCGTATCTGTTAATTGTATCAGTCAAGTTTCTTACGAATTTTTTGTCTACCTAATCTATCAATTCTGAGAAGTAAAGCCTCCCGGAGTTGTGGGATTTGCTTTCCTTAAATCTGTCCATGGCTGCTTCCTCTGTATGGACGCCATGGACCAGCTGCACGTAAGTGTGGACCTGTTCCATCTTCCTGGTGAAGTTTTCCTCTTGTCGCTGTGTAGTTTCCTTTTTACCCCTCCGCGTGGTTTTTGCCTTGACGCCGCCTTTATTTGGTATTAACTCAGTTTCTCTTTGGGTAGTATTTGCCTCTTAACATCTTCCCCAAATTGTAGTCCTTTATGCTTATATTTTAGGTGTTTTTATAACTGATATATAGCCGTTTGGTTTCTTTTTCATCCATCGGAACACCTGTCTCGTTTGGCAGGAGGGTTGCAACTACATTTACTGAGATTGCTGACTGATGCAGGGATAGGATTTAGTTTGACATCTTTGTGTCCTTTCAGGTACATGCTTTTCCTCGTTGCCCCTCCTCCTGTGCCTGCCCACCGCATACCCACGCCGTGCCCACACTGTGGCCACCCCATGTCTTGCTGTTGCAGCGTGTCCTTGTGGGGCCCACCTTCTTCCTGGCATGTTCTTCAGCTCCATCCCTACATCCTGTGCACTCCCACCCAGGGGTTCTGGGGGCTGGGATTGGTTCAGTCACCAGAAGTGGACAGCAGGGCGGTCCCAGCACCTGGCTTTACCAGCTGATCTAGTCAGGGGGAGGGCAGTGGTGCTTTAATGTTCACCCCTTGTTTGCCAGTACTCTTGTTCACTCCCAGGAGTGAGCCTTGGATCTCCGATGAGAACTGCCTGCAGATATTTTTACACTCATTTTTCTTCTGGAGGTGCTGGCTGGCTCTCTGTGTCTGCAGGAGTTCCTCATGTGTTTCAGATATCCGTTCCTCTTGGCTTCAGACGTTGGGAGGCTCTTCTACTCTGTCCCCTGCCTGCCGTCTAGTCCCCAGTGATCCTTGATTTTGATGTAACCAAGTGTACAGGTTTTTTTGCCCTGTGGTTTATGTTTTATGTTTTTAATGCTTTGTTTAAAAGGTTCTCCCTTCCTGGCCAGCGTGGCTCATCAGTTGAGCATCAGTCTGTGATCCAGGAGACCGAGGTTCAATTCCCAGTCAGGGCACATGCCCGGGTGTGGGCTCTATCCCCAGCAGGGGGCGTGCAGGAGGCAGCTGATCAATGACTCTCATCATTGATGTTTCTCTCTCTCTCCCTCTCCCGCTCCCTTCCTCTCTCTGAAATCAATAAAAATATACTTTTTAAAAAAAACAACTTCTTCCTTGGACTAGGTCTAAAGATATTCTCTTACATGTCTTGTATTAACTTTATAGTTTTATCTTTCATATCAAGGTCTGAATCTGTCTGGAACCACCTTTGTGTGGGGCCAGGAGGGATCCAGGCTTCATCTACTAAACTCCCACCTTGGCCCCAAGATGTGATAGGATGTGTGTCCCTTTACCAGACTTAGACTCTATCCCCAAACCACACCGCTGCCCATCTGTTCTTATACCAGGGCCACAGAGCCCCTGGGAACGCACCACACAACTGCTGAAGTCTCCCTTTCTCCTCTCCAGTTAGCAACTGCCTTAGCTGGTTGTGGGCTCGAAGTTCAAACCCACACTGTTCACAGGTCCAGTGTATTGTGTAAGTGAATGCTACCTTAGCAGTCTGTCTTAATACTTCTAATAGTTTTCCAGTTGATTCTTTTAGTTTTTCTAGGTTGGCAACTAATGATAATTTTACCTCTTTCTCCAGATATTTAAATTTCTTGCTTTTGAAAAAATCTATTGCATTGACTAGCATTTCCAAAACTATCCCACATTGGTGCTGAGGGTAGATGTCCTCTCCTGGCATTGATGGGTGTGTTTTCAGCATTCTGATGCTGAACATTATGAAGGTCTTGGGTTTAATATGCATATTCTTGGTCAAGTTAAGTAAATTTTCTTCTACTTCTGGATTATTGAGAGTTTTTAAAATCATAAATACATATTAATTTGACCACATGCCCACTTATTCATTTCCCAGGAATTGGGTGCCTGTTGTGTTCCCAGCCCCCACCCTTAAGAAGCTTACCATCCCCATCAGGGTATTTATAACCTGGCTTCCTTCTTAGGTCACCTGGTCATGTCTGGTTGAAGCTGTGAGTCTCACTAACCCCTCACTATGCCCTTTGAATAGTAGCCCCCAGCTCCAGTCATCCAAGCTTCCACAATCCAGGACAGCATTCAGTGTCCTGGCCTCCCCTCAGCCTCTGGATGGTGCTGCAGCGTAGCTGTCCCAGCTGGAGGGCAGGTGGGCCCCAGTCCGTTCATCATGCCATGTTCCAGGCACTGCGGGGTTAGGGCGGAAGAAATACTCATTTGCCCTGATGAAGGGGACAGCTTTGTGGGCAGGGGCCAGGACACTGGGGTCATTCCTGAGACATGTAAGGGCGACACCCACATTCTTAAAAGGGAAAGGCAAGCTATTCCAAGTGCACCATGTTTCTAAATTCTCGCACTCAGAGTCAGGTCCTTTTTCATTTTGCTGTATTTCAGCCCTTCCCCACCAGGAGTCTTCCTCGAGAAGGACTGTGAGACCTCCCGGGATGACAGTGCAGATGGCCATCTTCTTCACTGCAGGTAGAACCCACTGCCTCGGGCTTGGCGCTCCCTCCTTACTGACTGAGGGGGTTTTTTGGAAGCTCTTGGGTGAGCTAGAAGACTCTGGCTCAGCAGGAAGCAACTAGCTGGATGTGCATGGCATGCAGGCCCTGCACCGGCTGTGGAGGTCAAAGGGGGTGTGTGCCTTTGGGTGGTCTGGGTACCCCCCCAGCACAGACCAGGAGTAACCCCAGTGTTGGGGAGTAATTTGAAGACCTGAGGGGCCTTTGGCAGTTTGCTCCAACAGTTTTAAAGATTGAGTTTGGAAGTGGTAACTGGTTTTGGACATCAACACAGCGGGAGGGGATCTGAGCTGACCCCGGGTCCAGCCTTGTGGCTGTGTGACCGTGCGAGTGTTTCCCAGCCTCCTTGTGCCTCTGTCCTCTTCAGGAAAGCAGGGTGAGGGCAGCTGACTGGGTGGGGCCTCTGTGTTCTGGCAGTGCTGGGAATGCTTCCCAAGGTGCACAGGAACCAGCCTTCAAAGGAATGCGGGGCTGAGAAACTGAAGAAAGCAGCTGACAACTCCAGAATTAAACAGAAAGCCTATTAAGGGAACTTAAAGACGGAAGCTGAGTCTTGGATCTCCCCACCCCAAAGGGGATGTGGGCTTGATACATGTGGCCTCCAAGAACACAGGTGCTTGTTAAGAGCTCTATATTCCAAGGCAGTAAGGCACTTGATGGACTCACAGATCTCTGTAAGAACATTCCTTTCAGGTGACACAGGCCCACTCATCCTGGGGTGAATAGGCTGTCACTGATAGCATTTTGCTTCTTAAGATGGTGTTGGTCACTTCAAATACTAGAACCCGTTTTGCCTCATAGGCAGGTCTGGTCGGGTTCCTAGACTTGCTGGTCTTTGCCAGCACTGCCTGGCCCTGCCATCCTGGGTCCCAGCTGGGTTTGACATGAGAACAGTATGTTGTTTTAGAAATGGATGCAGTCACTCAGAGCTGGGAAAAATTGGGGAAGTTAACATTTATGGACAGAGCAGGGAAGGGGTGCTGCCACCCTCCCCCCAGACACTGTGGACAGAGTCTGTGAGGAGGAAGGGAAGCGGGAAGGACCCTGTCTAGGCGCAGCCCCTGCCACCTGCCAAGGTTTTGAGCTGAGAAGGCGGGGGCAGCGATGGACAACTCTCTCAGCCCGAGACAGGGGCATCATTGGCCCTGAAGGTTTGCGGGGCAGTTGGAGGGCTGGATAGTTCAAGTTTTTTTCAAGCATCCCCTCACGTGTGGTTTCTTGCATGCTCTGTGAGTTGCACTTACACGCTGTGGTGCAGAGGCTTTCCTCTGGAGCTTGTGGTGTCGGGTCCAGGTGTCCCACACTGAGCAGCCGCTTCCCTGGGGAGGTGGCAGCAGAGTGGCCCTTCGGGGCGTTGGTCTGGTGCAGGGCTCTTCATTCTGCTTTTGAAAGAGGCCCTGGGAGGAATGCCCTGTGCTAAATGGAGCCCTTTGTCCCTGCGCCTGCCCTTTCAGCACCCACCTCCGCCCTTGCCCACTCGACTTCCAGCATTTCTAGAGGCAGCAGAAGGCTCTCCTGCTTCCCTCGGATAATCAGGCAATTGTCCCTTTTGTTTAGGAAGGGCTGGTGTCTCTCTGCCTGGGTGCCCCCCGCCCTAGTATAGTTGACAGGGAATCAGAATGAGGAGGACAGGCCTCCTGGGTTTGGGGAGCAATAAAGACACCGAGGTCCAGTGGTAGAGCAGGGAGGCTGAACTGGGTAAATGGGCCACTCGGTTGTCTGGGGGCAAGCTGAAGAGACTCTGGGTGAGAAGCAGACAGCAGGGCCTGGAACCTGGATGTGAAGTTTCAGGGAGGAGCCCCGAGGAATGGATACAACAGTGGGGTCCAGTGGGCATGCAGAGCATGGGGCTGTGAGGAGGTGTGGGGTGACAGGTAAAGCTGCCTGCACCGTGGGTGGGCAGGTGGGTGATGCCCAGAGGGACAGGCTGAGAGAGATGCCTCATCAGACCAGAGACTTACTGGGCCTGTTGGGGCTGTGGGGGGAGGCAACACTTGGCTGCAGGCGCATCTGCTCTCTCTGACCGATGGCCATCTCTGGGCCTCTGGGGCGCAAGTCTGCATCTGTGGCCTGGAGCCTGCGGGGACCTCAGGCTGCCAGAGGATCAAAGGGGAGACCCCTAGGAGGGGCTCGAGCACAAGGGCTGCAGCGTTGCCCTGCCCCCAGCCAGGGGCGCTGTCTGCATGGCAGAGGGGAGGTATGCAAGTCTTCCCCCTGCCTCACTCTTTCCCATCACTTCCTGGACCAGGTGGAACTACTCTGAGGTCCTGCAATGGCCAGCAGCCTCTCACGTGCTCTGGACTCTGTCTGACACTCCCGCCCACCCTCCTCATCCTGCTGCTCAACTCAGTGGCTCATGACTGCCAGGACAGTGTGGCACCTCCCCAGCCCACAGCTCTCAGCACCCTCCACCAGGCAGGGATCACTTTTTACATTGAACCCCCGCAGAGGCCTGCTGGGTGGTGAAAAGGTGTGAAAAGGAACGGTTCACACTGACGAGGTGCTTCCTGTGTCAGTGCTGACCGAGGACTTGATTATGTGCAGGTTATGTCAGTCCTCATAAGAGCTAAGAACAGGGAGAGATGGTAAGTGATTTTCCCAAACCCCGCAGCAGAGGGAGCATTGGGCTGGAGTTCAGTCCCAGCTCTCTTGACTCCTAAGCAGCCCTCAGGGTTTGCTGGCCCCATATCCTGGCTGCCACCTTCTGCTCTGCCTAGTTGGCACAAGCATCAGGCTGGGAGCATCCTCCAGCAACCAGGAACAGAATTCCTGGGAATGGGAGCCTGTGTCCTGAGCCCTGCTGCTGTTTGCCTTCTCAGGGTGGTGAGGCCAAACTGCTGGGCATTATCATTGACCATCAGGGTTTGATCCTGGCTCTGCTGGGTGGGCCATGTGCGGGCATTCTGGAGCAGGCTGCCTCACAGCCGGTATGGGGCCCTCTCACTCACCCTGAATTCATATTGCCAATCCATGTTCTCTAGTCCCCACTTCACTCACCCCCAGTAATTAGGACTTAGGGCCTTATCCAGAAAGGCCCAGTGACAATCAGATGACAGAGTTAGAGGGGCCAAACTGCACAACTGGTGTCTTAAGATGGAAATTCCACTTTCTGAGATGGTAGATTAGCTTATATGAAACCAACCTGTACATCAAGAACAAAATAGGCAAAATCACCCTGAGGTCATCAGAGATCTACTGAGGAGAAAGGACTTAGTGCCGAGGTGTGGAGATCATTACAGCCCAGCACGCAGGTGAGACTGCCTCTCCCTCAGGAAACTGAGAGGCTGAGAACCCAGAGGCTCAAATGATCTCTACAGTTTTTCATGCACAGTCACCAGAATTTCAGTCTAAAATGAGCATAACTGATTGAAAATAGAAACAACCCAGAGGAGTTTACACTTTGGAGTTTCAGACACTAACTTTAATAAATATGACTAGTGTACAAGATATTAAATGGAAATTTTTAAAATTCAAATGGTTTTACCAAGATAGATCACCTTTTGGGCCATATAACAAACCGTAACAAATTTAAAAGAATAAAAATTATACAATATCTGCTCTCAGACCACAGTGGACTTAAACTCGAATTCAGTAACAGAAAGATAACTGGAAAATCCCCAAATATTTGGAGATTAAAGGACACATTTCTAAATAACTCACGGGTTAAGAAATCTCAAGAGAAATTTTAAAATATTTTGAACTAGATAAAAATGAAAGCACAACGTATCAAAATTTGTGGGATGCAGCAAACTCAGTACTTAGAGGAAAATTTATATATTAGTGAAAAGAAAGATCTAAAATCAGTGATTTAAGCTTCCATTTTAGGGAACTAGAAAAAGAAGAGCAAATCAAAGTAAGCAGGAGAAAATTAGTAATAAAAATTAGAGAAGAAATCAGTAAAATTGAAAACAGGAAATCAGCGTTGAAAATCAACAAAGCAAAAAGCTGGTTCTTTGAAATAATAAAATCAATAAGCATCTAGCCAGGCTAAGAAAAAAGACACTAATATCAGAAATGAAAGAGGAGTTATCACTACAGAGCCCATGAGCATTAAAGAGATAATAAAATAATTATATGAATAATTCTACGGACGCACATTTGATAAACTAGGTGAAATGAACCAATTCCTTGAAAAACACAATCTGCCAAAACTCACACAAGAAGAAATAGTCTGAATAGACTTACATCTGTTAAATTGAACCAGTAATTAATAATCTTTCAAACAGAAAGCACCAAGCCTGGATGTGTTCACCGGCAAATTCTATGAGACATTTATGGAAGAAATTGCACCAATCTCTACAATTTCTTTTGGAAGATAGAAGCAGAAGGAATCTTCCTAACTCATTGTGTGAGGTCAGCGGTACCCTGATTCCAAAACCAGACAAAGACATTACAGGAAAAGGAAACTACAGACCAATCTGTCTTATGAACTAAGTACAAAAGTCCTCTACAAAACATCAGCAAATCACATCCAACAATGTTTAAACAGAATTACACAGCACAACCAAGTGGGATTTATCCCAGGTGTGCAAAAATCGGTATAACCCATCACATCAACAAGCCAACAAAGAAGAATTCATGGTCATATCAACAGATGCAGAAAAATCACGACAAAATCCAATGCCCATTTGTGATGGAAAAAAAAGAAAAAGCCTCTTAGTAAACCAGGAATAGAGAGGAATTTCCTCAACTTAATAACGAATATTTACAAAAAAACTATAGCTAATGTCATACTTAATGGTGAGAAGCTCAAAGCTTTCCCATCAAGATCAGGAGCAAGGCAAGAATGTCCTCCCTCACCTCTGCTTTTCAACACCATACTGCAAGCCCTAACTAATGCAATAAGACAAGGAAAAGAAATAAAAGGTGTACAGATTGCAAAGGAAAAAAATAAAACTGTCTTTGTTCACAGATGATAAGATCATCTATGTAGAAATTCCTGAAGAACTGACCAAA